TGGACAAACAAATTACTTGGGCAGAGGCAGGATAAGAAGTTGCCAGAAACCTCATCAGTCTCCTTAGGTTGCACCCAGTACACACGTTCGCTGCTCTTATGAAACGTTCTTCCCTAAAGCTGGTTACCAGCAATATAGCGGTTGGATTTATGCTCTTTCACCGAGCCGGTAACTCGAAAGTACACAAACTAATCCCCCTGTGCTCACACCATTTAACTGAAAGGGACCAGAGGCATCCAGTGCGCGAGAATCTCTACACTGTCTCGTAGGGAATAAAAGTGCCTTTAAATTAAAAGTCTGGGCAGAAGACGCGATATAGAGGAACATCTAACATTTCTGACGCCAGACGCTATTGGGAACGACGGGAAGGCACTCACGGTAGGCCTGCTATTTTGTGGTGGAACGGTCCAGATTGGGGGTCCCGCGTCTTAATATTGTGGCAGATTTCTAAGTTGAGATGTTATTTGAGACATCGAAGGCACACAAAATAATCCCACTTTGTTCGGTAAAATTATCGCTCTGGATGCCTCCGCTCCCCGTTAAATTAAACTCCGGAGTCTCTACGACATAGTTTGTTGCCTGGATTTCAAATATTTTCATGGGGACATCGCTGGCAAGAAGGGGTCCATGCATAGGCACATATCCTTCGTCGCTTCATACCTACAGCTCCTGAACACGAGAGGTCCACGTTAAAGTGCTTATTTCATCCTCTACGGATTATGCAAATTTGCTTCCTGAGCCATTCGCGCAAGGTCTGTGCAGTACGGGGTGACTGCCTCAGCAGATAAAGTACCAAAAACGTAAATGTTCCAAATTTCGTTTGAAGTAACAAGGATCCGTAGAAAACGTTGCGGTTTCATTGCTTTTGAGGGAGTTTCTTTCCACCCCACACAGCCTCCTCGGGTGTGACAGGTGTGCGTGTGCGTGCTGGCAGCACGCACTGTGGCGTCTTCGCTCGTGTTTCAAAGTATTTATTCCTCATCTTTTATTACCTAAACAATACTATAACGAAAGGAAGAGTTATTTCCGCACGTGAGAAGATGGTTCCCTAGATTCACCCTCAGGTTGCGGACCAACACCAAGGGACTCCGCCGACGACGCCTTCTGTGACAAAGTCTTGAAATACGCATCATAGAATAGCTTCTCCCCTCCACCTCCTCTCTTTTAGGCAGAATAATTTATTATTTCGCTTCCCTTTGCTAGAAGGCTTCTCAACTGTGCCGCAAAACAGCTGCTTTACCCTCCTGTAACGGCGGCCCGGGCGGCAGCGGCGCCGGCGGGAGTTTTGGAGGTCCCCTCAGGATTCCGTCCCTCTCCAGCCGAATTATCTATGAAATAAAACTTTACAAACTTATTTTACTCGATTACACTGACATGGGCGTATCCATAGGTTTCTTCTGAGGAAGACTAGCCGCCACCATTAGGACAACAAGGGCTGCTCGCTCTGGCATTTCCGTCGGGATTTTGTGGCGAGTCAAGTGGACTCCCAGTGCATCGCCATTTGCCTTCAGCATCTCCTTCTTTCTAATATTTCGTTACTTTGACGCGAAGGTGNTCCCAGTGCATCGCCATTTGCCTTCAGCATCTCCTTCTTTCTAATATTTCGTTACTTTGACGCGAAGGTGTAGTAGGCATGTTCACCACCATTATCAACCCCGACCTCACTATCGTTTGATCGTCACAGAGGGTCTGTGTGTTGCGTACCCTCTTGGCTACCCTCCTGGTCTTACTCATGCAGAAGTCCCCCTTTGGATATCGCTTACTGTCTGTAGACCCACCCTGAGACACTCTTCGTCCATCTTCTGCCCGTGGAAGGCCGTAGGAGAAGGCAGGCCATGAGGGAAGTTTCTCTGCTGCTCCCCTTCCTTCTTCCGCCTTGGGGCCCTGCTTCACTTTTTGTTACTGCAGGGCAACACGGAAGCCACCATACATTTTTCGAGGTGTCAAGGAACGAACGCCGCCTCCAAGACGCAGGATCAAATCGCGGCATGGGTTTCCTGGGGGCCAGTGATGGGCCGGCCACTGCTTCCGAAATGTCACACTGGAGCCCTGGAGGTTCGCATCCCACTGAGTCTGTCTCAAGCGTTGCAGCTGAACCATATCGCATACCAACTGTGGAAGGGGGTGACACCACCCGCGGAACGCAGTTGGGCATGCAGGAGCCTCTGTCGTTCTACGGTAATGTTCACGTTTCAGATCCAATGCCAGTAGCAGAAGTCCCTATGTGGATATGGTAAGCCCTTACCTAATACAACTTTATTGCCAACCCAGCAGCTAGTACAGGCTAAGCAGCTCCATGACATTTAAGGTTGAAACGGACAGCTGAGCAAACATTTGTCTACAGTGCATCTCCACATGAATACTGTCAAGTAAATAAAACATAGATTCATGTACACAGAGAAATCACCCATGCATCTGCATGCACGCAAAGAAAAATGTGGGCTATGCTGCACCGCCNCATGTACACAGAGAAATCACCCATGCATCTGCATGCACGCAAAGAAAAATGTGGGCTATGCTGCACCGCCATGCATCGGCTTATATATTCCGCATTCGCATGACAAGCAAATGTTTACTTACACAACGACGCAACTCTATACATACTCGAGTGCACGCTTACTCAGTTGGATATTCTTGATGCTTTCCTTTTTTTAGGTCCTCCTCGACCGTCATCTGTGTACTGTTGCTGCTGCTGTGGGCCCTGCACCAACGGCGGTTTTCTTTGGTAGCCGCACAACTACGGCTGATTGAACGCCGCTGTTTCAGCCCCCCCGCTGCACTCTATATGAGCCTCGTATACTCCTTCTTTCCTCTCTCTGGAGCAATCGCTTGGTGAGACACTCCAGAAAGGATAGCAGCAGTAGTTGAAGCCTCAACAGCAGAGGCGGACGGAACCGCAAAGAACGTCGTGGCAGCTGCATCCGGTGTACAAGCAGTTCCGATCATATTTTCCTCTGCAAGACGGCTGCATCCACCACCGTCTCAGTGTTTGCTTTTGGTGCCTCTTGGCCCCTACCCCACTGCTGCTGTGCATTTGGCTTTTGTGTATTCAGGCTCTCCCTCTTGGAGCCCCGTGTGGGTTTGCTGCTGTCACAGCTTCGGTCGGNGGCTTTTGTGTATTCAGGCTCTCCCTCTTGGAGCCCCGTGTGGGTTTGCTGCTGTCACAGCTTCGGTCGGCATGGGAAGTTTGCTGCTTGCATTGTTTCATGCTGTTAATGCTGCACCTGATGGGTGGCCCGGAGACAACACTGCTTTTAATACAGCAGCAACACTCTCTGCCTCCACCTGAAAATCGCGATAAAGCTCATGGCGATACAAAGCAGGTTTTCATTTCGACGGGTGTTGACTGGGATGAAAAAGCAAATAGTAAAGAATTCCCCTCTCCTCTGCCACCAAATCAAATAGATGAGCAACACAAAGAAGACTTATGTGAGATAGGAATGCACTATGATCGTAGACTAATGGATGCTCGACGCCTCAGGCAACAGGACAGCAAAAGCAGCAGCAGCACAAGCAGCAGCAACAGCAACAGCAACAGCAACACCAATCAACTAACCAGCATACCCCCCAGTAAATTCAGTGCAACAAAATTTTATCGACGTGGCGTCTCTGCCCCAAATCTGCTGTTTCCAGTAGCAGACCTGCCAACAGCAGTAGCAGCATCAGCAGCAGCAGCACGAATACCACCAACAACGGAAACAGAACCAGCAGCGGAAGNACAGCAGTAGCAGCATCAGCAGCAGCAGCACGAATACCACCAACAACGGAAACAGAACCAGCAGCGGAAGGAGGGCAAGTGTTGGCCCCGGACGGGGTGAGGCAAGTGACATGCCAAGCGGCTGAGTGTTTTTGCTGCGATCCCGCTTTATCTGCTTCACAAACAGCAGTAACAGCCGGCTCATCACAAAGAGCAAGCGAATGGAACCCGAAGGATTTAGGGGCACCCACCACGCTATCTCCAGCCACGGTTGGTGCTGCCGCTTCGGCTCCCGCAGCCAACACCGGCCGGGGGCCCTTAAGAGGCTTCCGAGCGTCCAATCGCCACTGCCCAGCTGCAGCTGTGACCACTGGTCATCATAGGCGACTTCGATGGATAAGGGGCAGGAGGGCCTCTTGCTTCAGCAGCAAGAGCTGCGACAAAGCCGTGAACTGCCCCAGTTGCAATGAAGACAGCCGGATTTCAGGGTCTGAATGC